TTTAATGTTAACATATTACTATATGTATTATTGTACCATGTACTTAAAGTAAATTGTGTTAGCTGCAGTCTTTAACCTATATTGATAAATTATAAAGGTATATATTATTATTAATTTTTATCTAATAATTATAGGTACACATTACATATAATTAGTATACTATGTTTAATATACAAGTTAGAAGTTGATTGTTAATATGCATATAATATATTAACGTGATTTAGTTAAATTTAATCATAAATTACTTATATAGGTTCACGCCGTGTAGGTACTTTTATATATGTACACATATTAGTTATACCTACTTATATAATGAACGATTTATGTTTCGTAGATATTAAAATGCTAGTGTTAAGTATATTAAATTCCAACAGATTGTATTTCATGTGAAATTTTTACATGTAATTTTTCTTTGCCTTTCATATTTTAAATTAAAAAAAAATAACTACTATTGTACGAGGCGATACAATTTTTAAAMTTTTAAAGGTAAGTATCAAACAAAATTGTAATAAACCAATAACTAATCACTWATTAAAAATAGTGATAATAATTAATAGCTATATTATATGTTATTAACTTTAAATTATTTTTAGTTTTAAACTAGGTAGGTACTTATGAAACAAAATTACAATAACCATATAGGTACATGAAGTCATGAAATAAGTATGCTACCTCCTAACATGTATATGATGCATGAACTTACAAAAACCCGTACAACAATTTGTACATGAATATATTATTGGACGTTGCTGGACACTCCTCGTAAATTGTTATAACACGAATATTTTTAATACCAACTTTACGGTTGACATTATAATAATTCTGTTTGAACTTTACAAAAATCATCCAAAARGTCCWCGTTTGCCTTAGCACTGAAGATTAAAGTTTTTGTAAGGTTGTACTACAACTACACGTACCTATATTATGGCAACTTTTCGTAATAACCTAAAAACCAATAAGCAAATTTACATATTTACAGTAAACTTTATTGCAGCATTTATTATTAAATAGTTAATATTATTGTTGTATTTTTCATCACTAAATCTACAGAATTACATCACAAAAGAAAATAACAGGTCTAAAAAATTATCTTTATCGTCCGGGAAAATGAAGTATGCGTCAAGAAATGCGTCGACGTTTACGATCAGACAAGGAAGTGTTGGGGATTTTTAAAACAAAATAGAGCTATAACTTTGATTTATAAAAAAAAAACTTAACCTAACAAAGTTACAGGACGGCAAGAACAGGAGAACGCTAAAACGAAAATAAAATAATATTTTAAGAATAAGCTATTAGTCATTACATTTTTTTATTGTAACTTATGTTCGCATGAAGGAGTAAAATGCACTTTTAATTAAGTTGTATGAATAATTCCAGGTCACAGTTCTTAATGATCTGCGAACAATGACTTCGCGTCTTCTGATCTTATTGATCGCCTTATCGTTTGTCCACCCGTGGACGTCGGTCGGAGCCGCGAACTTCCTGGCTGTGCACACAATCCACAGCAAGAGCCACTGGAATGTGATGCAAGGCGTAATGAAGGCGTTAACTGATCGCGGCCACACCGTAATCGCGTTCACGCCGTTCGTGGACGGTGACAGAGACGGTTACACAGAGGTGGACGTTTCCGGTAACCTGGAGGTTAGGGTAGGATTGAACGCGACGTTGGTTACGAGTTGTCAGTCCACGCGGACGATAATGGATCACATCGCGAACTCGTCGCGCACAAACTGTGGAATCGTATTCGACCACCCGCGGATGCGAGAAATCTTGAACGGCCACCGGTCGCGGTTATTCGACGCGGTAATCGTCGAAGCTCTCGAGATGGATTGCGTGTCGTACGCGGCCACCGTTCTCCGCGTACCCGCCATATACGTTATGCCACCACCCATTGTCACGTACTCGGAGCGTTCGTTCTTCGGCCACATCCCCAATCTCGCGGCTGTCTCCAACTTGTTGTCCCGACGCGCTGTACCCAAGACGTTCGTTGACCGTTTTTCCAACATCATACAAACGGTTTACGGGTCATGGCTGTTGTGGAGCTACGAACGGAGACTCAGAAAATCCGAGCCCCGACCGTTCGATGCCGTGGATTTGGTCAGACCGTCATTGACATTTACCAACACGCACTTCATCACCGAACCTTCTAGGCCACTGACACCGGACATCGTGCAAATCGGCGGTATACATCTGACCCCGCCAGGATCGATACCAAAGGTATTCGAATATTTGATGTATACCATAATAATATGTTATAAATAATATAAWAACAGTACCWTATATAGTTTATASACGTAAATACAGTACCTAAAAATTTGTACCAAATTAAAGCGCATCCAAATTACCCTCGGACCCCCCTGGCCGAGTCTATTCGCYCTGTCATCATTGGTCGCCAGTCCATGTGCGAGTTTCGACCGATTTTCGTGTGCCACCCGGCGCGCTTTTATATATTTGGTAGTTTGGTACAGACTAATAATACATATAGTAGATGCCACGCCAAATAAACTGAAAAGTGGGAAATGGTATTTCATTTCAGTCGTGTACAATATTTTAATGTTTATGAAACATTTGTTATATACAATCACTTTTAACATGTTTTTAACCTCACTGATAAAAAATTGAAGACACTTCAACATTTAAAATTAAATCTTGTAACCTTATAGAAATTTGCATTTTTGTCGTAGGGTTCCATTTGCCTAACCTTTCCTATGCAACTGAACTTGAATTATGGATTTATGACTTGTATTTAAATTCTGAAGAATTATACGGTCGTTTTACATCATGTCGACAGGATATTTTGGAATTCATTGACGATGCGCCTCAYGGTGTTATTTACTTCACGTTTGGTTCTGTGATTTCGATGGCGTCGTTACCGAAAAATGTTCAGAGCACGTTACTAGAGACGCTCGCTCGGGTTCCGCAAAAGGTGTTGTGGAAGTATGAAGGCGAAATGGCTGGCAAACCTAAGAATGTGATGACGCGGAAATGGTTTCCACAACGCGATATACTTGGTACGTGCCGAGATAATTAAATGATGACATATACACTATAATTTAGTACTGAACAATATCTCGAACTATTGATTATAATATGATTAAATTATGTACATATAGTGCATCCCAATATGAAACTGTTCATAAGTCACGGAGGCATATCCGGATTATACGAAGCTGTGGACGCGGGTGTACCTGTACTTGGATTTCCGTTTTTCTACGATCAACCGAGAAATATTGACAATCTGGTCGACGCCGGGATGGCTATATCTATGGATCTGTTATCTATTACCGGAGATACGCTAATGAATGCCATTTTGAAAATTGTCAACGATGAAAAGTAATAATTGTTCCGTTTTTAAAAAATAAAATTATTATTATTATTTTTAACCATTTTTAGGTACGAGAAAAACGCTAAAATTGCTTCCAAACGGTTCAAAGACCGACCCATGTCACCCGCGGACTCTGTAGTTTACTGGACTGAGTACGTATTACGCCATAACGGAGCTTCACATTTAAAGTCTCACGCACTAAATCTTTCGTGGTATCAATATTTTTTGGTTGATGTAATTTTCACATTATTATTTACTGCGATTGTCATATTGTTCACAATTTATTATTGTTTAAAAATGATTATTAAACACATCAATAAATATTTCTATAATCTCAAAGCAAAACGTGAATAAACTAAATAAAACAACACGAATCAGTCACGTCTCCTATATAGGGTCTATAATATAGGTAATAAGTATTTTCTCAAGTCTCAATAAAATTGTGGAAAAAAATTGTTTTTGTTTTTGTATATTAAGCGATTCATGTCTTTATCGAATACCTATACGACTATACCGCCTACTGAATAATAATAATATATATTTTTAATATGAAAATTATTTTACCGTTATAACAATACTTCGACGATTCCTTATCGATATATTTGAGTAAATATATTTAATATTATAATTATTTATATTTTTATTTTTTAAAATTTATAAAAATTACTCAAATGAAATTTTGGCTGTTACCAATAATACTTTTTCCTTATTACATCAATGTTGTAATGTATTAAATATTAATGCAGTCAATTAGTCTGGAGATCAGTATAGATAATGTCATATATAACTTACTATAGAAGACTTCCTCTTAGTAGGTACTCAAGACTTTTTTATTGAAATTTGATGGGATCATCAATGTAAACCATAATTTTATACTTATCTTAAATAACTTATACCTATATATGTATATTATATATATATTATAATAATTTTATTGTATTTAATATAATTGGTTTTTATTGTTCCTTATTTTGTGAACTATAAAATGTACTTCACTAARGTTCCTTATATTGTAAGTTATGACACTATATTACGATATAAATTATGTTTAATTTAATTTAGAAGTTTATTATTACGAACTTTTAATTATTATTATTCATAATAAAAGTACCTATAATAGTAATTCATAGTTCCTTTAGACGGCGCTAGAAGTTGTGTACAGGTATTGTGCTGAATTTTAAACATCCTAGATTCCTAGCCTATCCATTCCACTATACCGTATATGGAATATGGGTATACATTCGTTWTACTTATAACTATTATTATTAATATTACAATGTTGCATAATAAAATGGGACTGATATAACTTAATAATATTGTTAAGGTTAATGAGGTAATAAAATTATAACAAATGGGGATTCGTTTTGATTACACTTAATAAATACGTATCACATAAAAACAGTAGCTTGATTTCTCGATGTAATTTTCAATCCTTAGCTATACAATGTAAACGTWTTATATATTTTTAACAACTAWAGAATTTGTAAATTTTCAGTTAAATAAATTTTGYCAATATTTGAACTTTGAATGGATATAMAAAATGTCGTGCCTATGCATTTTTAATATTTTCCAATTGCTATTATATAAACTCATTGGGAACCTTGTATTAAATTTTGAAACATTTTTACCCAACGAATACAATTTTATTCTCATTAATCAAAAAAAAAAAAAAATTAAAAACATATAATAGACTTACTCGGGTCCCTCGTATTTAAATCATCAATCGACTATCTTTGAACAAAGAGTTCAAATTAATTTAACTAAAATTTCTCCTTTCAATGCCAAAACATTTCATTGATTTTTGATATCTTGCAATTTTAGTTATATCAAATYGTTTTGGCCCCTTTTTCCTTGAATTTTGTGTTACTCTCAGGAGTCAATTTTAATTAAATTTTTTTCATCTTGGAGTTTGATTAATTCGATCATGGTACCATTATTATGAAATAGTTTTAAAAAAAATAAATGCATTTATTAATGGATGTACAACGGTTCCTAACTTTCTGTTTTAGTTTATTCAAATTTTGTGTGTGTGTGTTTTTTTTTTATTTGAATTAAGCTTCGGCAACTATGGCCATTGGCAACAATGAGTTTAAYTCTAAATTATTTAGATGTTATTTGGGTTACATATTAAATACTATTGATAAGGTTGGACTTAGTAATAAAGCTTATTATTTGTCTTATGTTGTCTGGGTGGAGAACTTCTGACAGKATGTTTGAGATGCTTGCTTCCCGTCTATCCATTTGTGTGTTTTAACGAGTGAATATTTAACAGGGCTTGAAACCGATTGAAAAATTTTGATTTCGGTTTCGATTTTGGATACCGGTTTCTAAAATTTTCGGTTTCGGTTTCAATTTTTCAATACCGGTATTACGAAATATCGGTTTCAGTTTCGATTTTGGATACTGGTTTTGAAATTTTACGATTTCGGTTTCAACTTTCCAATATCGATATTATGAAATTATGGTTTTGATAGTGATTTTGTAATTTTATACTACAAATTACAAGCTTTAAGGAACCTAGAACAAAATTATKTCAATGGTTTAAACTTTAAAGATAGTACCTACATTTATCACTAGACTATATTTTTTCTGATGCAAACCTTCTCCCTGTTCTGTTTTTTTTTATATACATTTTATGAATAACAATGAAATAATACTAGATTGTTTTAAAGACAAAATAAATATAATACCTATAGTAAAAAAGGATTATAAATTCACAATAATATAGTATTTTCACACTTGAATTTTTTTTTTTTTTGATAGTTAAACACAAATTTATGAACACTGAAAAGTATAAAAATTAAAATATAATTTTAACTATTTATAACAGAAAAAAATTATGGTTCCTGTTACCTATAATAATCAACTATTATAATTAATTATT